AGTGGTTAGAACAACATAAAGAAAGTCCATAGCTCTTAATAAGAAAAGTTTAACTAGACAATCTTGCACAGGTCTTCTTTGGATGCAAGGTCATGGTTTTTCCACGATTTGGAATTTCTTACAAGGAGGTACGGCATGAACTATCATACATTTATCACCCTTGGCTCTTCTGAAGAAATGAAAACTCATCAGGGTCAGGGAGGGATAAATGTCTTTTGGATGCATTTGTATGCAGTTTGACTACTGTTACTCATTCAACCAATATTTGAGCATAAAACACACTGTGTGAGGCACAACAAAGAGAGTGGAATGTCTAAGTTAGAGATCCTTCCCTTTGGAGGTTCTCCTCTAGGAGGGTGGCGAGACAGGAGATTAACTAACAAGGCCGGGTGAAGTTGGTGGAGTCAATGCGTAGGCGTGAAAGGCAGCAGGAGCTTGAGTGTGAGATGATCACGAGCTGGGTGGAAGACAGAAGGTTTCCCTTTGAAAGCAGTGCTTGAGCTGATCTGGGGGATGGAGGCAGAATGTTGCTGGGTGAAGGCAGTAGGGACAGCATGATACTTTCAAAGCCTGGATGAAAAACGATTATTTAACCTGCATGCATACTGTACTTCCAGGCACTGTGCAAATGACTACACATACACGATTTCCTTTGCTCCTTACAAAATACAATTCTTTTGAGTTAGAGATGATGATCTCCAACTTAGAGATGGGAAGCCATTGGTTCAGAGAGAAAAGCAATGTGCCAAGTAGTGGACAGAGATTCAACACCAGCCCATCTGACCCCTTGAGTTTCTGTGTGAACCACTGCCACGGGCTGAGCGTCTGTGACCCTCTAGGATCCATCTTGAAATCCTAACCCCCAATGTGATGGAAATAGGTAGCAGGGCCTTAGGGAGGCGATTAGTTCACAAGGTAGGGCCCTCATGAATAGGATTAGTGCTTTTATGAAAGAGACCCAAGAGAGCGCTCCTGCCCCTTCTGCCATGAGGACACAGCAAGATGACACCATCTATGAACCAGGAAGTAGACCCTCACCAGACACAGAAGCTGCCAGTCTCTTGATCTTGGACTTCCGGACTCTAGAACTGTGAGCAATACATTTTTGTTGTTTATAGGCCACCCAGTCTATGGTGTTCTGTTCTGGCAGTCAAAACAGACAAAGACATCCGCTGTGCTAGGCTACCTCCCTCCAAGGCCCTGTGCTTGCTTTGCAATCTTAAGAGAGGGGTTTTCTTTGTATAAGGTGGCCATGAAATTTCCAAAAGTAGCTTCTGTCTGCAGTCAAAAGTAAGGCCCTTTGTTTTTAGTGAGGTGATCTTGATTTGCTGTACCTCTGTAAAAGCTCATCTCCATTCTGAGCATGGATGCGTGCTGGATGGTTGCTGCTTACTAACTGGTGCTAGTCCAGAAGAGGCATTCCCGTGGGAAACGCCAGAGAAGGCAGCAGAAGCCTCACGACCTCGTGCTGGCCAGAAAGCAGTAAATGGCCTCCTCATCCCTGCCCCATGCCCTGGGCACCTGATAAAGGACATGCTGTTTTCTTCAAGGCCGTTTTAAAGTTTGATTCTCTGGATTCTCTAATAATTTACTATTTTGGGTTGTGGCAACTTCGCACAATGAAAGGAGTGTCACAGGTTGAAATCTCCTTTATGTGTACATGTGACATCAATTCCACACCGACTCCCACAGTTATGCTTCCTCAATTTTGGCCTCATTTCCCTAAAACACCAAATCTTACTCCCAAAGGTGATATCATTCCAAGAACTAGTTCAGAGAAAAATGAAGGGAATACCGTATCCATAGCAAATACACCTTAAATAATGAGAGCTGGAATTCCAAATCTTAAGAAATATCTTAACCAGAAAAATGTCTAACATTAGCCTGTCTCAACTCTTGTGATTGTTACCATAAAGAGGCAGCTAAAGTTGAATCTCAACTACTCCCCTTCTCTTCACCAGACCACTAAGCCAGGTGGGGCGGAGTAAGAACAGCTACCTGAGTAGACTTTCCTGAAAGGAGAACCAAGGATGCTGGGAGCCATCTTGAATTCTGGTAAAAACAATGAATCTTTGGTATTCCATAATTCTTACACTAGGCATTATTTTCTTTTCCTCAAATGCAATTTTATGGATGAATATGAATAGATCCCAACTCATTATGCTGTGACTTAAGGAGGTGTGCCCTGGTTCAACCCAGCGTGGGTCATTTTAGCAAATGTGCTTAGTAATCTAGCATGAAGAAGCTCTCAACCTGTACTCCTAGGGAAGTGCTCGTGATAATAATTTCTAGAACTACAGTTTTAAGGCAAGACACATATTAAATACTCTTCATATTTACTGACTAAATGATAATATATACAGATTACATTATGCTCTTCAAGGAATCTTCACAAATACTGTTTTATTGTTGTTTCTGTAAAAGAATACAAGATTGGGAAGAAAGGGTCATTCATTAGTATTATTGAATGAAAGTGTCGTTCATTAGTGGTACTGAACACAGTACAACCCATTGTATTGATGAGGACATTAAAAAACCCAGAAGGTGAGTAGGAAGGAAAAGAGGCAGCCTACCCAGCTCTCCTGATGGCTGGCATACTGTTCTTCTCAGTTCTTACTAACTTGCCACACTGCAAATCTTTCCTTTGCTTGGGATGGCCCTCCATTTATCTAAGCATCTTTTAAGATTCGACTTCAATGTTATTTATACTTTGAAGTCTCTTTCTCTTTTTTTTTTTTTTTTTGTTTTTTCCCCACACAGTGTCGTGCTCTGTTGCCCAGGCTAGAATGCAGTGGTGCCATCTTGGCTCACTGCAGTCTCCGCCTCCCAGGTTCAAAGAAGTCTCCTGCCTCAGCCTTGTGAAGGTCGCTGGGATTTTCAGGCATGTGCCACCATGCCCAGCTAATTTTTTTTTTTTTCTATTTTTAGTAGAGACGGGGTTTCACCATGTTGGCCAGGCTGGTCTCCAACTCCTGATCTCAGGTGATCTGTCTGTCTCGGCCTCCCAAAGTGCTGGGATTGGAGGTGTGAGCCACTACACCCAGCCTGATGTTGCTTTATTTGATACAAGGTGATAAGTAATAGCACATTCCACATCAGGTTTTTTTTTTTTTTTTTTCTTTGAAACATCGTCTGCTGTGTCACACAGGCTGACGTGCAGTGGCTCATGGAACCTCTGCCTCCTGGACTCAAGTAACCCTCCCAGCACAACCTCCTGAGTAGCTGGGACAACAGGTACTTGCCACCATGCCTGGATAATTTTTGTCTTTTTTCTAGATAGAGTCTTGCCATGTGGCCCAGGCTGGTGTTGAATTCCTGAGCTCAACTGATCTGCCTGCTTCAGCCTCAGAAAGTGCTAGGATTACAGGTGTGAGCTATAGCGCCCGGCCCATCATCTTTTACTTGCTTATTTCCTTGTGGCTCTCTTCTGCAGTAGATCACACGCTCTGTGAGGTCAGGAACCACCGGTCCCAGTGTCTATACAGGCACTCAGCAAATCCTTGTGTAAAGAGAGCATGAACCTCCATGGTCCCCCCAACACTGAGTGCCAGCAGAAACTTTTAACATTCAGTTAGCATGTAGAATATGTTAACCTCACCACAGAAAGATGAGAAACAACACATGCCTCCTCTCCTTGAGGCCATAAATATTCTGACTAAAAGGGTTTCATAGCTCTTATCCTCCAGTACACTTTATATGCTCAATGAATGTTAACTATGAGAATAATGCCTTAATACTATTGAATAAGCCTCATTCTGGAACCTTATCATCTAATTCTGATTCAGGTTTTCAAATTATATATAGATAGTAAGCCACTCTGATTATACCACACATACACAAAAATGAAATAATAAGGGATCTTGAGAAAGTTCTACCAATGATCACAAAATGTTTAAAGATGAAGCAAGTAAGTTTCATAATTACAAAGGAGTTGCTTCCCGCGGTAGTCAAAATGCTTACTTGCTTCAATGCGATTTCTATGTGAGCCCTGGACAGCCCTCTCACCCGCCATATTTCCCTGAGATGCACACAGAGCGTATTCCTAAAGGGATTCAGATTTGTGGGACTAACACTGAGATTAATGCAAGAAATATCAGTTTCCCCAGGCGTATGTCAAAGCAGACAAGAGATCGTAACTTTCTAGGATGTTTTACGATACCAGCTGGTGGATCATAGACCTACCAAAAAGAAAATCTGATAAAGGAAGGCAAACGTGGTTACAATTATTCATACGCCTACTGTGGGAGTTTCATAAACAAAATAATAATATTTTTATCTTGCAATAAGATCAAGTTAAGTGATTTGCTGACATTCTCTTGAGGTTTAAGCCTTGTCTTTAATGTGAAATACAAATCATATTTCTTGTGGACACATTTTAATAATAAACTTAAAAGCATATGAGACAAAAATAATGAAAACACTGCAATGAAAACCAGACAAGCTATCTACCACTTCAAAAGGAGTGAATGAAGACCGCTCGTCAACACCCTGATGCAAACAACCTCAACACAAAATGCCACATATTGAAATCGTGTTTTATGGAAAGAGAATCAGCAGGGATGAGAGAATGAAAAAAAGCTACTACTTGAAAACAGGTAATTGACCACATGGAAATATACACTCTCTCTCACTCTCTCTCTCTCTTTCTCTTTCTCTCTCTCTCTCTCTCTCTCTCTCTCTCTCTCTCACACACACACACACACACACACACACACCCCTTGTAGAACAGATCTGATTTTGATTCAATTTACTTCTCATCTCTCTGCAAAAATCTCACTGGCAAACAAACAGGTTTGGTCCCTTTTTGCCTTAGGAAAGGACAACACATTTGATGCCAAATGGCTTTGGTTTCTAAAATTCCAAGGCTGCCTCTAAGAATAAGAAACTGGACGGAACATTCACTGCCTCAGGAGCATTGAGGGGGAGTCCTCACTGTCTCTCATTTTGCTACTTGGGTCCAAAGGCCACGACAGAGGCACAACCAAGGTGGAGCAGCTCACCTCTAGGTCCTGTAATGACAGGTCGGTGATGCTGTGTGAACGCCGTTCCCAGGGAGGAGGTCTGCGAAGGGGAGGGGCTGCTGAAACCAGACTTCTCCGACTTCTTCAGTGTGGTTGGAGATGGCATTCCTGGGAAGAAGGATCAACTGGTAAATTACACTTTAATTCATGCAACAATGGTTTGTGCAACCTAAAAGATAACATTGAAAGAATTAAAAACAAACCAAAAAAGGAATCCACCTCTGAAGGCAAAAGATGCTTTAACTGCTTTGCATTATTTGTCACAGGGACAAGGAGGTGACAGAATAGTCCCCTGATAAGTCGGTCTGTTTTTGATTTCATTTTAGTCTACTTAATAACAGTCCCTTTTGGGTTTATTGATCTTCTCTAATAATGCAGGGTTCAACTTCTCCAGTGTTTCCTAAAAGTTGTTGTTTGTGCCTGTGACCCCGGGGACCCCCAAGAAGGAGACCATCTGTGCTCATGAAGACTTCACATGCAATCATTTCATCTTGCTGGTTACCTTGCTTTGACAGCAAATTACTTTCTTCATATTTTAAATAATCTAGTTGTTTTAACATAAGAATACCCTCAACAATGGCAACTTCGTTGTTCATTCAGTGAATAGAAAAAAAGAAAAAAGAAAAGTAAAAAAATGTTAAATGCCCTACAACTGGGGACTGGTTAAATAAGTATGGTAAAACCAGTGTAAACAGTACGAGAGTAATGGTGTGGCAAAGCATTTCTAATATCATGTTAATTGAAAAGGGCAATTACAAAATAGGATGTTATGACGCCATCTAAAAGGGTATTTCTATGCACAGAGAAAGAACTGGAAGGCAACACGCATAAACTATAACAGTAGTTCTCTCTCTGTGTTGAATTTGGGTTTTTATTGCCTTCATTTTGCTTACTTGTCTTTTCTATGATGAACATATGCTGCTTTCATGTTAATACAATAAAAGCGTGTTTTTAAAAATAGTATTTTTACTATTGTGTCTAAGATTTTCGCAGCAGTTCCAGCATAGAAAATGCTTTGGGAAGAAAATAATGGAGGAAGAGTGTCTTGTAATTACTGGATTTGTAATGTTCTCAGCAACCACGCTGACATACCCAACTGGAGGCATCCTATCAGTTTGGTAGGGTGCCAATTAAAACAACGAAAATTTGGATATAAAAATAAAAGAAGTGACTCCTAGTCTCTACATCAGGAGACAAATTTGGGCTCTCTTAAGGTTGTAACACAAAACTGGTCTACACTGATGTTAGAAGAACCAAAATCCATTTTACTTATACATGTTTACATGTGCTGTGTTCTGCCCATGACCAGGGAACTATCTGGGTGAACCGGAAAAGTAAGAAATAAAAATCATAATGATATTAACATGTAACGGTTACTGAGTACCATGCACTGTGCCAAGCACTTTATAGGTATAAATCTGTCCAGAAATTTAGTTAGTTTGGCCTGTATCTAAATATGTCCTTGTTATTTCTGATCACAGATTTCCTTAATGCAATTCTACAACAAGACCTTTGAGAGTGACTCAGATTTGATAAGGACAGAGTCCTTGTCTGCTTTGTTCTCCTGTATGTCCAAGACATTCAAGGGTCTGAAACACCCAAATGGTCTGAAAAGATATTTAAAGTACTTGTGCAGGTCTCAGCTTTATCTGTAGCTTACATTTAGATGCTTAAACATAGCAGAGCTTAGAGTTTTGACACCAATAAAGAAACAAATTGCAAATTGGTAAACACTTTTGCATAGTCAGACGTAACTACAATATGGAGTGGTATGTGATTTCATACTAATTTGATAAATTTGAATCAGATCCTTTCTAGATCAATATCCATGTGATTTGAATTAAAACTAAAGTCACTAAGTCAAGTGACTTATTGTGTTAGTTATATTTGTTGCTTACTGAATCAGTAACCAGCCACACCATACCGAGCTTCTAATGTAGGATGCACTGAGGTTTTGGGTGAACATTCACTGCAAGTAACCTCACCTAAGTTATCATCATATAATTACACTAAGGAGGAGATTTCAAATAAAAAAATTAAAGAAATAAAAAGCTACCAAAATGTAAACAAATCTCCCAACTCATTTAAATCTTTCTCTGTAGACCAATTTATAGGCTGCCGACCATTCCGCTGATCTAAATTTAGTCAAATGCCTGAACTATGTGTCATAAAGCAGAAGCAGAACAGATAATAAAACAAAAAATCAAAACTGTAAAGATGGTAGATTTTTTTTTTCCCCCAGACAACGGAATCACTGATGAAATCCAGGATCTTAACTAATCTTATTGATGATAATAAATGGTTGGACTCAAGAAAAAGTTATGATTTCTTTGAAAAATTCATGTTTTCTAATCTATGCCATTCTAAATATTGCAGAAATGTTGACATGATTGAAGTCCACTATTTATGCTTCTAAAAGGAATTGTAAGTAAAATTTGGTCAATAACATGTATCAAGAATGACCAAGTTAGTAAATGAGTTCAAAAACAGCAAAATTTAAATCTTCTTTGCAAGGGTTAAAGAGGAAAGAAATACTGTTGGCATGCAGCAACAACCAGCCAAACTATGTATAATCTTCTAAATTTATCACAGTCAAGTAATATGAACCCTAAGGCTGTCATGGATCTCAAAATTACTTTGTGTTTTCAATTTTTAAAGACTCGTATTGAGCACATTCCCTTATAATATACTTTAATATTTTCTCCACATGCATAATGTATGTTTGGGTTAATTTGCTTTGTATACTTAATTGACCAGATGAAATTCCAAAATGCTAGTAAACTGCTCTATGTTAAAAGCTAGAGAACATTAATCTTGGCTTTTATTTTTGAAATCAAATTTGGTTCTGTACATTACTTTAAAAATAAACTCCTTTTTAAAATCTCTTTTGCCAATTATTTATGCACAACTGTTACAAAATTACTGTACAGATTAATGACTGATTGGCTTTCTTTTAATGAATTAAAACTTTAATTTCAATGTATTTTCTAGCAGTACCAGATTTTTTAAAAAAAGATTACGGATGAAGGAATCCCACCCCTTTTCTGGAGCAAATGAAATGTCACTTCAAAGTTGAATACAGAAAAATAAAGCATTTTGTAGAATGAGAAGCAGAAATATAGCATAATGTTTTGTTTCAGTGGGACATTTCATCCTTTTGATTGGTATAAAGAACCCAATGATAGTAGGCAGAATTGGAGATACATTTCGAGAAGGCCTTTGGCTTGTCACTGGTTTTCTGAACATCCAGAATTTTTGAATTTTAAATTTCTCTCTATTCCAAATTTCCCTCTAGTCTGCCATTTTTCTAGGCTATGTGAGTCATTCCAAATTGTATTCAGTAGACAAGGGCAAACATATATGAGATTCTAGTCATGTAGTGGCTTTCATCTTTGGAGACACTTGTAAGAGTAAAGTTCAACAAGGACACCTCGGAAATACAGGCCAAATACAGTATCCACAAAGATTCCTTCAAATTCATCATTAGTATCTGTGGTAGTCAGGCTGGGCTGGTGGCTCATGCCTATAATCCCAGCACTGTGGGAGGCTGAGGCAGGAGGATCGCTTCAGGCCAGGAGTTCGAGAGTGGCCTGGGCAATATAGTGAGACTTTGTCTCCACAAAAAAATTATTTTTTCAAAATCAGCTGAGTGTGGTGACATATGCCTGCAGTCCCAGCTACTCAGGAGGCTGAGGTAGGAGGATCGTATGAACCCAGGAGTTTGTGAGCTATATAACACCATTGCACTCCAGCCTGGGCAACAGAGAGAGACTTTATCTCAAGAAAAAAATTGTGGTATTCAGAATTCTATAATGGCTTCCTAGTTCCCAGCCTTGTTTAATGATGCCTTATATAATCCCCTCCCCTGCATGTGCGAGGTACTTGTGAATATGATAAATGAAGATTCTTGTGAATAGGTTATATTATACCACAAAAGTGATCATATTGATTAGGTTATGTTATATTGGAAAAGACTTTGGCAGATATAATTAAGGTCCCCAATCAGGTGAGTTTGAGTTAAGACAAAAAAAAAATCGATTATCCTTGGTAGGCCTGCCCTAATCAGGTGAGCCCTGTAGAAAAGGAACTAGAAGTCTGAGAGAGATTCTTCTTCAGGCTTTGAAGAAGTCAGCTGCCATATTGTGAAAGGGCCTGTGACCATCACACGGCAAGGAACTGCAGGGGTCTCCAGGAGCTGAGCAGGACCCCTCGCTGACAGTTAGCTTTCAGAAAGTAGGGACCTTAGTCCTAAATCCACAAGCAACTGAAATCTGCCAACAGTCATGAGAACTTGTAACAGGCCCTTGAGCTCCAGAAGGAATGGAGTCTGAAGAACATTTTCACTGCAGCCTTGTATGACCCAAGCAGAGGATCCAGTTCAGCTGGCCCAGGCTCCTGACCCATGGAAACTGTGAAATAATGTTAATAATTCTGTGTTGTTTCAAGTTGCTAACTCTGTGAAAATCTATTCTGCAGCAACGGAAAACACACATGATATTCAAATATAAGACTACTGCAATGCTAGCCATGTGTGCATTAAAGATGTTTATTGTACAGTAATTACTCTCTGCAATTCTGAACTTTTCCCTTACTTTTACCTAATCCATCCTAGGTTGTGAAGTCTTCCACTAGCCTACACTCACCCAGACAAAATGGTAAGATGTGTTCTTAGAAAAGGAGCTAGAGAGTGGTAATTTCCAAGGACATAAACACTTTTGAAAATTTCTATTTCCCCCCATTCTTTCAAGAAACATCAATAACAAAATCGGATTGAGAGATGTGAAAAAAAAAACCAAAACAAATTCTGGGGATCTCCCCTAAGAGATGAAGGTTTGTTGTAGGTAATTTTTCTTTTTTTCCTTTCTTTTTTGAGACAGAATTTTGCTCTTGTCGCCCAGGCTGGAGTGCAATGGCGTGATCTCGGCTCACTGCAACCTCTGCCTCCTGGGTTGAAGTGATTCGCCTGCCTCAGCCTCCCAAATTAGCTGGGATTACAGGTGCCCGCCACTACACCCAGCTAATTTTTTTTTTTTTTTTGTATTTTTAGTGGAGATGGGGTTTCACCATGTTGGCCAGGCTTGTCTGGAACTCCTGACCTCAGGTGATCC